CCAGATTTTTACTGAAGAACTTTCTCTGTCTGCAATTTCAGAGAAATGCAATACTATTCAAAGAAGCGTATTGTGCTAAGTGCTGGATAGAAGATAAAGATGAACAGAACACAGTCTTTGTGCTCTAGAAGCACAGTAGCCAGCAAAGCAAGTTTATTTGTCAGGCAGCTTGCAGACTGGTTTTTCCATTTCTGTAGAGGAAATTTATTTCATAGCAATGATGGGAAACAATATAAATGCAGATTTGGAGTACAGCCTCTGAAATCTAACTCTTGAAAATGACATATATTAGCTATAAGATCTTAGTCAAGTTGCTTAACTCTCAGTTTGTTCATCTGTGAAATGGGGCTATTAATATCTCATAGGTTTGTTCAGATTCTAGGAGATTACCTAAAGCATTCAGCTTACTGCTTGAAAGTGAGTGCTCAAAGAATTTAGCCTCCATCACTTCCACCACCCCACTTCCACCACCTCCACCACTACCTCCCTCTCCACCACCACAGCCACCAGCACCACCTCCACCACTACCACCTCCATTACTACCACCACCTTCATTACTACCACCACTCCATCATCACCACCAACTCCACCACCACCTCCACCTCCACATGCCCCACCTCCACCACCTCCACCACCTCCATCACTACCACCACCTCCATCACTACCACCACCAACTCCACCACCACCACCTCCACCTCCACCTCCACCTGCACCACCTCCACCTCCACCACCACTACCGCCACCACCTCCATCACTACCTCCATCACCACCACAACAAGCACCACCATCTCCACTACCACCATCTCCATTACTACCACCACCTCCATGATCACCACCAACTCCATCACCACCATCTCCACCTGCACCACCTCCACCTCTACCAACACCTCCACCACCACTACCTCTATCTCCACCACCACAACAACCACCACCACTACCTCTATCTCCACCACCACAACAACCACCACCACTACCTCTATCTCCACCACCACAACAACCACCACCACCTCCACCACCACCACCACTTCTACCACTGCCTCCATCTCCACCATCATAACAACCACCACCACCACCACCTCCATTATTACCACCACCTCCACCACCACCACCTCCACATCCACCACCACCACCTCCACCACTACCACCACCTCCACCTCTACCACCACCTCCATCTCTACCACCACCACCTCCATCTCCACCACCACAACAACCACCACCACCACCACCACCTCCATCATCACCACCATCTCCACCACCACCACCTCCACCACCACCTCCACCTCCACCACCATCTCCACCACCACCACCACCTCTACCACTGCCTCCATCTCCACCATCATAACAACCACCACCACCACCACCTCCATTACTACCACCACCACCATCTCCACCACCACCTCCACCTGTACCACCTCCACCTCCACCACTACCACCACCTCCACCACCACCACCTTTATCACCACCACCACCTCCACCTGCACCACCACCTCCACCTGCACGACCTCCACCTCCACCACCTCCACCTCCACCACTACCACCATCTCCACCACCACCGCCTCCACCACCACCACCATCTCCACCACCACCACCTCCACCACTACTGCCTCTACCACCACTACCACCTCCATCACTACCACCACCTCCACCACCACCACCTCCTTCATCACCATCATCCCCATCACCACCACCATGAAAAGTACCACCACCACCCCATCAACACCATCACCACCACCTCCATCACTACCACCACTACCACCTCCACCAATAAGCAGGGAAGCATGTATCTGGTATAAAGATTTCATGTCTGTAGCTTTGGTCTAATGGACATTTTCAGATCAGCATTGATTACATTGCATTAATTACAAATGACTTCATTTCAGAGCTGACTCTGGGTGCTGGCCTCAGCCTGGCCCAGGTGAAAAATATTCTGGCTGATGTGGTCCAGAAGCTTCCAGAGGAGAAGACACAGATATACCGTGCTCTCCTGAAGCATTTAGGAACTCTGGCTGGGTCCCAGATCAGGAACATGGCTGTATGTATTTGATGACAGCAAACTCTGGTGTGAGTCCCTTGGGTGACTGTCACTGATGAATCATGGCATTTTCGTTCTTTTTAGAACAGACAAAAAGAATTGTTCTCCAAAGCCTTGTTAATCCTTACTTTAGCGCTGTGTTTTTATAGTTACGTAACTGATGTGAAAATAACTCCTTATTTTAAAAAAGTCTTTAGGGGGACATGTCATGAGCAGACACCTGGATTCAGATCTCAATCCTCTCCTGGCTGTGGGTAACTGCACCCTCAACTTGCTATCAAAAGGTAAGTGACAGCTCCTACTTGGGGGTCTGTTCCTCCTATCCCTTTTTCTCTCTAGGTAGGCAGGTTTCGAAATTAACTATTCCCTATAATATCAATAATTCTCCCTGCCTTTTTGGATGCTGGAAAGTTGGTCAGTCTGATCTTAATACCACACACTCCTGATCTCCTCATCTGTTTCTTTTTCAGACTTTGTGCTAGATATTTTCTCATACTGGTCACCATACATTGAACATGCTTGTATTGGTTAATGTTCAGACATGATTTGATTATTGGAGGGAGCTATAAGCTATTGAGAACTATCAGGCTCCTTTGTTGAAGACATTCTCCAAATGGTACAAGAGTGTTGTGGTGCCCACATCAGGCTTTGGGCTCATACTTAATTTGTCACTGGTGGAAGCCTACAGGTCTTTTTTAGATAAGCAATGGTTTGGCTTCATTCTGTATTTATTTACTTGATTTTTGTTTTTGGAACTAAGTCCAGAATATTTAATTTATATCTCTTTTTCCCACTTGTTCAACAATTATTAGGGAGTTCTAACTGATCCTCTATAAATGTTTTTTTTAGTTTAAAAACACAGTCTAGCTTTCTATTACCTGCATTGTTAAATACCTACTCCTTATATTATCTAAACCACAAAATTATTTTAAGAAGGAAGATTTCAATTCATATGTGACATCCCTTTAAAAAGTCTTACCATAAGAAACAGGTTTTGTGATGTTAATATAGACATCAAAAGCTTCTTAGTTTGGGGTTTCCTGTAGAGCAGCTCCCTGCTGCGGATCTATTCAAAGTGAGTCCCCAACACAAGAGTTCATAAAAAAAGAAAGAAAGAAAGAAAGAAAACCCAAAAGCTTCTTAGCTTTCATCCCCAAATCATATTTTGTTATAGCTCTAAACTGTTGCTTCTCCCAATATATTGATTAAAGAACTGAAGTTCTTTAGGTGCTAGGAAAAGGTGTAAACAAATCAATACCTCACTATTATACAAATTCATTAAAGGCAATTTATTTATTCACTACTATACCTAGTAGGGTTCTTAGTTATAAACAATAAATATTTGTTGACTGACTTGATCAAAATATCAGAAGAGATATTACTATCTACTCCCTACTTATAAAGCTTAAGTGAATTGTCGTGTTCAGGAAGAGGACTGCTAAGTTCCTGTTCTACCTAAAATTCTGGGCTACTCTGTTTGATATTTTTTTCTACAAGCAACCAAGGAAGACAAAATAAATAAATAAAGCCTAGATTGGAAGAAACATTGTAAGTTGCAATGGTAAAGATTTGTTAAACATAGGAGAGCATTTCTTTCCCTAAACAACCAATTTCTTCAGGTACTTGGTAGAATTATTTCCCATGTTTTAGAAGTTTGTTTAATAGACCACAGACTCCAGGGAAAGTGTCATTTCTTTCCACAGAAGGAGAACGACAGATTCCTTTAAACGAGCAGTTTCTCAGCAAGTGCCCTGATGCAGATCTTAAGCCTCAAGAAATCTTGATCTCAGTGAACATCCCCTACTCGAGGAAGGTGAGAATGTCATACTGTCAATTTCCAGGTTTTACCCGTGAGCCTTGCTTGTTTATTCCAGCACATGGTGGGTTAAGAAAAAGTGTTTAAAAATGTTTACAGAGGAGATAAAAGCTCAACTTCAGGAGATAGTATGAGGTCATTATTTTAAGAGGACTTGTGAATAGTTACCTCTACTTGTATTATGCACACCCCTCTCATTCCTAGAATCAGGAGACCTTTCTAAATAAGACATGAAGAATATATTTCTGCCTATATCTTGGGCTTTGAAAGAGGCTAACAAAATACATTTGCTATATGACTTAGTGGAAACAGGAGCTTTGGTATCCGATAGACTCAGGTTTGAGCCTTGCTTTCAAGACCTGCATCACTCTGACCTTTAGATTCCTCATCTGTAAAATGGGAATAAGCAAGCCTGCCTCAGAGGATATATCCATTTGCCAGGGCTGCCATAACAAAGAACCACACAGAGTAACTGGCTTTCCTGAAGTTCTGGAAGCTAGAGGGCTAATGTCAGGGTATCAGCAGGCTTGGTTTCTTCTGAGGCTTCTGACGCTGGCTTGTAGATGGCCATCTTCTCCTTGTCTTCAAATGGTTATCCCTCTGTGTGTGTCTGTGTCCAGATTTCCTCTTCTTGTAAAGGCATCAACAATTTTGGATCAGTCATGACCTCATTTTAACTTTAGCTCCATAACAACCCTATGTCCAAATATAGTCACATTCTGAAATACTGGAGGTTAGGACTTCAGCATATGAATTTTGGGGGGATGAAATTGAGCTCATAACAGAAGATGTGACAAGGATCAAATGAGGCAACATACACAAACTGCCTAGTGCACAGTTGTCACTTTTCTTTCAGTGGGAATTTGTGTCAGCCTTCCGACAAGCCCAGCGGCAACAGAATGCGCTAGCGATAGTCAATTCGGGGATGAGAGTCTTCTTTGGAGAAGGGGGTGGCATCATTAGAGAGTTATCCATTTTATACGGAGGCGTTGGTGCAACCACCATTTGTGCCAAGAAATCCTGCCAGAAGCTCATCGGAAGGTAAGGCATCGTGTTCTTAGACTCCAGTTAACGGAGTAGCCCTTTTGTGGTGAGATGTAACGATAAGAAGAAAAATGCTTAGTACTTTTGTATTTAACTGCATAGAATTCCAATAAGATTTTTATGATTATTTCTATGTGTCTTGATATTATTGAATTCTGAAGTAGGCATCATAGTCTGTGTGTGTAGAGAGAGAGAGAGAGAGAGCCCGTCTCCCAATAGTACAAATTTGCATTCTTTATTGTGGGAGCATAATTTATCATGATAAAAAATAAATTATGTGAGTTTGTTCTATGATAATTTGCTAAATGCATTTGCTTACTGGACTTCCTATTTCTGTAAATAATACTAATAGCTAATATCTCTTGAGCGTTTAGTCAGTATCAGCTGCCGTTTCCGGACAAGTGACAGAGAACAGTGGTTAAAAGCATGAGCTTTAGGACTTGAGCGATCCAGCCTGTCTGGTCCAAATCTCAGTTCAACCTGTTAACTCCCTGATCTCCGCCAGCTTACTTAAGCTCACGGTACTTCGGGTTCCTTATCTGTGAGAGACAGATGATCGTCCCTACCCATACGGCAGTTGAGAGGATGAAATGAGTGAATGCGTAGCAATACAAGGTACTTAAAGCAGAACCTGGCATGTAGTCAATGTCCTAGTCATATGGGATCAGTAACTCCTGGGCTAAGGATTTTACACGGGGTGTCACTTATTTCTCAAGATGGCTCCGGGAGGTGGGTTCTGCTGTTATTCCCCTTTTACAGATGAGGACGTGTGAGACCCGGGCCAGACACCTGGGGATGGTGGGCAGATTTGAACTTGGGTTGCCTGACTCCGGAGTTGCACTGTTATTTCCTGTATTAAACTGTAGCAATTTGTCTCACACATGAGCTGAACCTGCGAGGCATGAGTCCTGTGAGGCCAGGAGTCTCCTCTTTTGACTCTGCAGGCCCTGGAATGAGGAGATGCTGGATACGGCTTGCAGGCTGGTTCTGGACGAAGTCTGCCTTCCGGGCTCAGCTCCAGGTGGGAGGGTCGAGTTCAAGAGGACTCTTATCGTCAGCTTCCTTTTCAAGTTCTACCTGGAGGTGTCACAGGTTTTGAAGAGGGTGGTAAGTGGAACTGGTCATGTAGTACTGCAGTCCCCAACCCCCAGGCCACAGACTGGCGCCAGTCTGTGGCCTGTTGGGGACCAGGCTGCAGAGCTCCACCCCACCCCACGCCTCCATCGGTGGAAAAGTTGGCTTCCATGAAGCCGGTCCCCGGTGCCAAAAAGGTTGGGGACCGCTGATGTAGTAACACCCCAGTACTGGGGCTATGGTGACACACAAAGCGAAGGCAACAACCCCTTGCTGAATAGCTGTAGAGTACAAAAGACAACCCAAATTAGAAACACCTGGACTTGCTGGGGGCCTCCCTCAGCCTGTCTGCGGGTGGGCATGAGTTTGGGGAAGGATTATAAGTAGAGCAGAGAATTGCACAGGATTTTGTTTAACACCATTCAGTTGTTTGTTTCTGGTCTGTTCTTCTAGATAATGTTCAGAAAATTTGCTAATGATTTGAGTGATTTTCCCTCAGTAAGGCATTTCTTCCTTTTGAGGTTTTACCTTCATGTTGAGATTTTGCTTCATGTGTTTGGCTTTCTTGTCTGGGTTAGGCTTCATTTCTCTCACCCATAAGATGCTGATGGCAGCTACTGCACAAGACTGTTGTGAAATGCGTCACTGCAGGAAAAGGGCTTCATATGGTTCCTAGTGCTTCAGAGGAACTGCTCAGTTGTAGTCATGATAACAGTGGTAATAACCCAGGCATTCTTTTGTCTGGTCTCCCTAATGACAAACAATCAGAGCTGCAAGATCGTTGGCTAGGAAGGATACAACTGAAATTCATTCTCTGAATGAATTTACTAGACCCAAAGGGAACTTGAACCTTACTGGTCTCTTTAAGCCCATGCTACAGCCAGCCGACCAAGCTAGACTAGAAGCCAAGAACACGCTTCATGTGGTATAGACCTCAGTATGATCACTTTAAATAAGAGACACAAAGTCCTCTCTTATCATTGCCTTTGAGGGTGTCTTCCCATTGTAGATGGAAACAACTGAGAACCAGAAAGAAAGGTTGTATCAACATTTTTGAGAATGGAAGCTTGAAATCATATATAAGTGACATATTATCATCAAGTAACCAAAAATGAGAAAATAAAGCCAATTGTAGTACAAAAGACAACTTCTTGCTGAATCAAGTGATACAATTTAAAACTTTCACTTTATAGTCTTATACATTCCATTCAATTTCCTCTCTTTAAAAATAGTAGCCCTCATTGGTTTTATTTTCTATTAAAATTATTTAAATTATAAAAAATAACCATCAGGTGTATTGTTTAAAGTACCAAGACCTGAATGCCCCATTCCCTCAGTCCTAAGGAGTGTTTTCCCTGGAGGTTGGAAGGCCTCCTCCTGCGGGTGCTGGCCAGGCTGCAGCCTCTGCGTTCTTGTCCCTCCCCAGCCAGCTGGTCGGTAGAGAGCGGAGTGTGATGCCCGTCAGCAGTGCTGTGCTTTGTCTCTGACTTTCTGCTAGCTTAAGTGTTCTCTTCCTTTCCGTTTTATTTACTTAGCTTCTATCTTCCTGTTGCTTTGGTTTGTACAACACTATCATTTAGGAAAGCATGTGAGGGAATCATAAGAAACAGATAGTGAAAGTCGGTCATCTACTGTGTTCACTCGGCCATTCATAGTGTGTGGGCGTGTGCACGTACCTTTCAGAGTACGTTCTTGAGTCAGGGAGCTGCTTGCACTTCCAAGGTGCTGAATAGGGTGAGTACTGTGAAGCACATGTTGGACTTCAAAGTAGAGGGGCTTGCTAGGAATCATGCTAGCCTCCCTTCTAAGACCATTTCAGCACATTTTAAACCATTGTAAATACCTGCCATGGCTCTATTTTTCAGGACCCAGTTCACTATCCTAGCCTTGCAGACAAGTATGAGAGTACTTTAGAAGATCTTCATTCTAGACATCACTGGAGCACAAAAAAGTACCAGGTTAGTGGCATTTTTAAAAGAAATTCAGAGTCCAGGCTATAGAGCCTTTGCCTGGACATTCTCCCTGTCTCTCGGTGATTCTCAAACTTTATAAACCCAAGCTCCCTTTCACGAACTCACAGCTTCCTTTAGTGTTAATTAAAATTTAAAAATCAATGAAGAACTGTAACTAAACACAAATCTAGCTGTGGTAATTTTAAAGAAAAATGCCGATTTGGGTCTTGAAGGCCACATGCTTTGTACTGTGGCCTCACACCACCGACATGCACAAGCTGCCCAACTCAGCACTTGCTTTCTGCCCTTGGCACCGTGGAGGTCAGATCATAGCCAAAACCGGGTTCTGTGGCAGGGCCATGGGCTGCTTTGATTTCATTTCTAAAAGGGCAGAGACACAACCCCTGGAGGTTGATAAAAATGCACTAATGCTTTTTGAAAGAGCTGCCAATTTGTGTTGTTTGAATGTGGAGAAAATATCCCCACATTCTTCCAACCCCTGTTCTCCAAGTGGTTTTTCTGTGAATCAAACAGAAGTTCTAAGAGCTGTTTGTAAGCTCTCATAATGAAAGCTGACTATTAGAAAAGACAAAATTCCTCTTAACTATCAAATGGAATTTTCTGCCACAAGATCATAAAAATATTGCCCAAAGTCATCCTATTGGTAAACTGGATAAGATTTGGTTGTTTTTATTGAAATTATTATCAAGAAACTTGACCTCGAGGGTGTTATTAAGTCAACAACATGAAGAGGCTTTTAAAATCGTTAGTTCACTGAATCTATTGTTGGCTTTAGTTACAAAACTTTACAGTATGTTGTAATGAACACTGAAGTTGATGTACACCCCTCGGGGTTTTAGGTTCAATATGTTTAAAAATTCAAATACACACAACTCCATCGAAAATGATCATTTTGAAAATTAAAAACAGCTGCATCTTCCCTGGTGTTCTGTAAAATGTGGCAACCAAAACCTTCAGCTTATATACACCCTAACACCGCCTTGACAATGGTATAAACTTCAGAAAGGAACGGCAACAACAAATTAATGGACACTCAGATCATCCAAAGAAAACTGAAAATCTTCATATAGTAGATGATCTTGAACAACACTTTATTATTGATTGCAAGAAAAAGTTTTGGATATAGTGTGTCTCCCATACAGAGGAGCTTTGTTTTTGTTCGCCTGTGGTTTTTCACATATACATACAAATATCCACATTGATAGACTAACATTAGCACTCACCGTAAGCATTTTCCCCCTAAATTAGTTCATTTGTTTTGAAAACATTTTGATACAGCTTCAAGAAACCACCAGTTTGAGGAGACAACATTCTTTCTTCCTTCTTCCGTAGTGTCTTTTAGCTACATGCTGAGCAGAAGCAAGTGATCAACTACAGTCTCTTTGTAAAAAAAAGAGGCATTATATCTTCAGCTAAAATAACAAATTTCACATTTGATTATAGGACAAAGATATATTTTGGAATTTTTCCTCAATCTTTTGGCAGACCTCACACAGCAAGGATTTAAAAGACTTTTCAAAATGTGATTGGTTACAGTAGAAAGGGTTATATCACAGTCAACTCCCAGAGCCTTTACAGATACCTGTGAATGTATTTTCTTAGTGTCTGAGCTTAGGAATTACCTGGAATTTTGCTTTTCAGGATGAAAAAAACCTCCTAGGATTTTGTAATAAAAAGATGTGATTTTCACTGAAATGTGATTCAGCTTGAGAGCCCAAACAGTATCATAGCTCAGCACTTTCGGGGATACTTTACAGAGGAAGTCAATTCCTACCCTCTGCAACACATGAAAAACCATACCTGGTAGAACCCTCAACATTGTTTTTCCTTTTCATCACCATTTCGGTTTCTCAAACGAGAAGGGGAAGAGAACTGCAGGGAACACATAGCCGTGAGGACAGGACAGTGAGCCATGTTGATGGAGCTCAGGTGTGAGGCTGCCTCAAATCCCTGCTCATGCCTGAACCCTAAGAAGTAAACATTTCTCTCATTTTCCCCATTTCCCTACATTTGTGGCCCAATATCTGCCTTTATTTCACAGTGCTTGGGCTAAGTTCTAAATTATTTTTCTTGATAATCTACGTTCTAGCTAAAGTCAAGATGACTCAGTAAGAACCAAAAAGGAAAACAAAACAAAAAAAAACTTAGCCAATACACTTTTTATTGTGCACTGTATTGTAGCACCTACAGAATTGAAGTTTACATTTAAGTAAAACAAATATGGATATTGAAACAGTAGATGCTTATAAGTTAGTATCTATTTTACTATAAAACAGTAAATTCTATATGAAATAGGAGTAAGCACATCCTCCACACATCTTATACCAAGTTAATTGTAGACATTATTCTACTTTCTACCCATAGTTGTCAGTCAAAATTTAGTTGACATTTTCTTTTTTGTCCTTCATATTATGAAAACAACAGGCTTTTCTTTTTCATTTTCTAAATCATCAATAATAATGCTGAACATGTTCTCAAGTTATACATGCCATTTTGCCCTTCTGTCTTGATATTCCAGGCCTTCCACCTGCTTGGAGAATCCAGAGGTGGAGGAAAGAGGAAACCTCTTTCTCCAGCCAGAGGGTTATTTTCTTGAGGCTCTCAAGTAGCTTGACAGTGAGTGAGGTCCACGCTTCTTGCGTTTCTTGAGCAGTGGAGGGCATAGGAAAATTGTGTATTTCACAGCTACCTTAAGTAAAGCTCCCCATTAGAACCATGGCTCTCCTCCATGCATGGGATTTGTTGAGTTATATCCAAGTGTTCAGAAAGGAAAAGAAAGGAAAACATTTTCGTGAAAAAAAAATGTGCTCGTTGATCAAGCAGATTCCACATGGCTTTTCTTTGATTGCGTAGAGTGATAGCTTTGGAGCACTTCCATTGGACCAGGGCTAACTTTGAAACTGGAAAACCTACAGCTATGAGTGAAGTGAGGTATCATTTTAGGTGGATTCAAGTATCTCGCTTATTGTCAATATGTACTGAATAGGCCTTCTCAGACTGTACAGTCTGGTAATCAAATATAAAGGTATTTAGCTTTTTTCCCCTCAGATGCCTTAAATGACATTAAGTTGGAAATAGGTCAGCTTCTTTTGTTTTTCCTCCCAGTAAAGGTTTTCAACCAGGATGTGTTCTGTTGGTAACATGTCCTATCTTCCCTTCTGCCATGTGATGTACAGCTTGGCATGGTGAGGCTCATCTCAAAGGAAGAGTCCCTCCCTGATCCAGGGCGTAGGGTGGGCCTGGGAACTGCAGTGAGGGCAGTGGATGGGGTGGGAAGGGGAGGCGTCCAGACCTCACGCTGACCGACCTGACTGTACGCCCCTCACCCCCAAGTCTTCCAGAGGAAGCCCCTGGGAGTCTGGCCTCAGCCCAGCACCAAATGCTATGCTGACACTGGAGTTACGGGTGAGGTTGCCACCAAGGCTTAGGGGCAGCTCCTCAGACACTGCCTTCACCCTGACCTCTGAGCTTGGCTTCTGTCGTGTCTTTTATCCCACTGTCCTTCTTTCTTCATACCTCCGATTCTTCTCACACTGTCCACCCACCTAGGAAAGCCAGCAGTTCTCATATTTGAAATGTCAGGGTAGACATTATGTCTCCATTTTGGTTAATGAAACACATTTAAGGTACATACAGAACCAGTGGCAAGATGTTTTACTCCATGGGTCTCTAAGAAAAAGGAACATTAGTGAATCGTTACTCAAATTGCAGGTCCCTCTGGCTTTATTCTCTACCAGGATTGTCTATTTCTTAGACTTCCTCACTCAAAATAGAAAAATATTCTGGTTGAAGTCAGATCCTCAATATTTTTTATAAGCATAGTGATGATATCATCATACTCTTCTGTAAAATATTATATGTGCCATGCTTCTATATAAACATAAAATAATTTGGATAATAAAATTTAAAGAAATACATGAGCATTAGCAAGAGGACATAAATTTATATTATCAGGAAGAATGATTTAAATTTATTTTCTTATACGAATGGAATTTCCATTAGAGATGTTTGGGGTCTATAATCAAAAAAATTGAAAAAAAGTAAAAACAGCATCATGACTGTACATACCACTTTGCCTATTGAATTATTGTAACAGGTTTATTGTCCTGGTGTTATTATTAATACTGAGTGCTTTCATTATCAAAAGTACTCTGGTTTGGGTGTAAATTATGTAGTTACCCTCTTCTGGGAGATGTTCATAATATGATTATTCCTACTTTCTCTTTAGAACTATAAAAAGTATACTCTGGTTATTTGTTAAACAGAATATAGACACAAAGCAGCTTCCTCAAGACCCAATTGGCCACCCCATCATGCATCTGTCTGGTGTGAAGCATGCCACCGGAGAAGCCATTTACTGTGATGACATGCCTGCCGTGGACCCGGAACTTTTCTTGACTTTCGTGACTAGTTCAAGAGCTCATGCTAAGATTGTGTAAGTGGTAAAGTTCTTACCCAATAGGCGTAAATGATTGCCCTTTTATCTAAGTTACATTTGTGAAAAGTAATGGTATGAAGAGAGTAAGTGATTTGTTGGCAATATCCAATGCAGACCGGAGATGAAATGGGATCGAAATGCAGGATTTACTGCAATTTGTCCTTTCATAAAATAACTTCCTCGTCCCAGGAATTTTCTCTCAATTGTCTGGCAGAGAACTATTGGAGCAGCTATTTGACATGTCTTACCTGTCTCATATCTTATTCTGCAATTACCTGTGCTCTTGGGTGGTACGGCTGCTCTAAGGACCTCTGCTGCACATGTTATCACCTAGGTCTATTGACCTGTCAGAAGCTCTCAGCCTGCCCGGCGTGGTGGACATCGTGACCGCGGAACATCTTAGTGGCGTAAACTCCTTCTTCTTTTACTCCGAGTCTGAGAAATTGCTGGCAACAGATAAGGTACTGCATTTTTGCTTTCTGTTTGAAAAATAACTTCCTCGGTTAAGGGTGCTTCATATTTTCTTAAAAATAGCATCTAATTTGGCATGTGATAAAAGATTCCAGTATTCTTTGAATGCTTATTATAAAGTTTTATATTCTAATATTGAATGAATTCAAATACATTCATTTTCCATATAAATAAAGAAATTGACTAGTTATATAAAAGATACTTTAGGCCATGCACAGTGGCTCATGCCTATAATCCCAGTGCTTTGGGAGGCTGAGGCAGGAGGATCACTTGAGGTCAGAAGTTGAAGTCCAGCCTGGACAACTAGTGAGACCGTCTTTAAAAAAATTTTAAAAGTAGCTGAGTGTGGTGGTATGCGCCTGGCTACTTGGGAGCCTGAGGCAGGAGGATCGCTTGAGCCCAGGAGTTTGAGGAGTTTGAGGTTGCAGTGAGCTATGATGGGACCACACACTCCAGCCTGGGTGACAGAGTGAGACCCTGTCTCCAAAAAAAAAAAAATTATTTTATACACACACACACACACTTTGGTGTTTTTTATTTTCTAGCAATAATATAGTATGCTGTTAACAAGTATGAAAGAATAAATGAAGAGAGATTAGTGATAACTTTTATTTGCAAACCCCTTCCATGAGAAACTCTTGCTATAGCCTCAGTCTCAGTATGTCCAGAGTTCAAGTCTGAGTTCCAGGGGTATGTCCACCATGAAGCCTTTCCTTATCCTTTAATCCAGAAATTCTCTCTCTCTCTCTGAACTTATTCTGACTCATTCATTCACACTGCCATGTATTCAAGGGCCTTTTTTAAGTGAGCATCTATTATGTTTGGTCACCATAGCTGAACAAGATATTTGTGGTCCCTGCCCTCATACAGCTTACAGTCTGGAGAAGAAAACAATGTGGACTTTTTAGGCACTTTCTACCTTGCATTAAACTTATTTCTATATCTTATATATTTCCCCTACCTAGTGTAATTCCTCGAATGAGCACCCAAGTCTGATTCCTCTGTGTGTTCCATGCACTGCCTCCCATTAGCAGGGAAAATGAGTAGAGGCATAGTGATAATGTTGTTGCCATTTGAAAGTTACAAGTGATTGAAACTTTAGCTACTGTATCTCAAGTTATCAGAAAATGCAGCAAGAACAGCAGTCAGCAGGTTTTCTGCATAACTTAGACTTCTCAGTTCAGTGTTTACCCAAAAGAGCTTCATAATTTGAAACAGTCCCTACCTCTGGCTCTCCCTGTTGGATACAGTCGATAAAAATGAAAGCTTGATGACCGAGAGTTTGAACTCAAGGTTGAAACTCCCCCAAGACAGGGCTGTGTAGCACTGGCAGGGACAATGAGAATTATAACCTTTGCATAAATGTTAACTAAAGAAGTAAAACTGGTCCCAGCTGCACCATCGTACCTGCTCTCCGTGGTGTGCTTATGTAGATTATAAGCATCTCAGGGGCCTCATCTATGTGCCAGTCACAGGGGCAAAACCAAGCATCTGTGGAGAGCAAAGAACAGTACCATAGACAGTGTCAAAAAGCACCAAAGGCAATCATTGCCTATGTAGGTTTAATTCCTTTTTAAACATTCATTTAAAATTCACTTTAAGCCTTTAAAAAATCTTGTCATTGTAGAAATTGTAAACATACACAAAAATAAAGAAGACTAGTACAATGAACCCCCCAGATCTATCACCCAGCTTCGAAAATTATCAACATGTTACCATTCCTGTTTCGTTTCTCTTCCCACTGCCCCACACCCCACACCCAACAAACATACTTTTTTGTGTGTTCTAGGTTTAACGTTTTTAATATTATTTTTTTTCTGATGATAAAACTACCATATGCTCATTGTGGAAAAAACATAATAGTTTAAAGTAGATTTTTAAAATGAGCGATTAAGTTTGAATAGTGAATCACAGTATAGGGTCAGAGAGAGAGCACAACAGCAATGGTGACTTCCTCCAGTCCAGACTGTTCTACCTTTCTCGAGGTTTAAGTCCCCCCTGTCCTCCATCGAACTTTCTGCCCTGGTCCCTGTGTGAACTGCTTAGTCCAGCTCTCCCACCTGCAGGTGAATGATGCTGGCTGCCAGCCCCCTGGGAAAGGGGATGCCAGAACAGCCCTGATTGTGGTGTGGTGTGGCAGCCACACGTCAAACCATGGGACAGGCTCTCATAGGCCAGCTGGCCCTCAGGCAGCCCCATTGGCCTGGAGCCTGAGTCTGCTGTTCTCAAGACAGCATCACTCCCACCCCTCTGGAGCCATCGCTGCCAATAATATAGCACAAGGCTGCCAACCTCCCCCAGTGCCTAGCGTCACTGTGGTTACAGTCATGAACAGACGTGAAGGGGCCACATCTGTGTGTGTCTAGCCCTGTGCTAGGAGGAAGGAAGAAAATAAACAAAAGAAAGGATCTGGTGCCTGTCCTCCCTGACCACAAAGGTCTTTCTGTGTTGCAGGTATTTTGTGTGGGTCAACTTGTCTGTGCCGTGATTGCAGATTCAGAGGTTCAGGCAAGGCGAGCTGCTAAGCAAGTGAAGATCGTCTATCAAGACTTAGAGCCACTCATCCTAACAATTGAGGTAATGAGTTCAATGGTGGTGCCAGTTCCGGGGCCAGAGGAACAGATATCAGTGATATATCACTTAAAATGCTTTTGGCTACTGTAACAGGAAAATATGACTCAAAGTGGCTTCCAAAGCACAGTCACCTTATTGGCCCCGAACTATCTCAGTATGAGCCATTTCCTCAAAGACCTGGTTTCTTTCTGCGTCTCCTCTCTGCTGCCACATGACTGGCTTTATCCTGATGGCAGCCAGGACAACCTGGGCTTCCTTGTTCACATCCAGTGGTCAAGAGGAACACTATCACCCCAGCATTCCAAGCACAAGTCCTGGGACCCGGCCTCATTTAGCCACTTGGGTGAAATGCCCAACTTTGAACTAATGACTGGAGGAGCTGTTGGTTACTATTGGGGGTGGGGTCAGATTTCTCTGAAATCTGCAGGCTATGGAGTGGAGGAGACCTAAGCAGAAATCTGAGCTCTGTTTGGAAAGGGAAGGCGAGGGGAATGCTGGGTGGACAGCCAGCAGCATCCAGGACAGTGGGTCCACCCTGTAACTCTGTTCACCTTCACCCAGGCTCTTGCAGGCACAAAGTGAGGACCAGCAAGATGATCTGTGAAGTGAATATCGAGAAACTATTTTTAGATTTTTTTAATGCATATCTTAAATGAGTATGAGAGATAGATCATATGATGCCTACAGGCATTTTGGCAACTTAAACAAATCGGAGAATTACATTTTCTATCTTGATTTTTAGAAAGGAGTTGGAAATTTATAAAGGCTATAAGACATCTCTGTGAAGTGATAGGGTGTCCTTCTGCGTGCATTCCACTGGTGCTTATAATTCAGTAAGTGATGAAAGGATGAAAGTTGGGAAAGCGGCAGGAGTAGATTCGGCTCAGCACACACAGACTCCATGAGATCTGGGAACAGTGTTAGCTCCACCACATAATGCAGACGCGGTTCTCTAGGTGATGAGCATGGCCTGGGGCAGAAAAAGAGGAAGTGACTTGGGCAAGATTAGCCTCTCCAGGAGAACTTGGCCTGGAGGGTATTTCCTACCGTGCTGCTCTGTGCCTGGGAATGTGGAGTTTGTTCCTGGGAAATTTCATTAATGTTTTAAAATTAAAATAAAATCATATCAAGTAGATAAAAATATAGAAGTTTAGTTGCAGTCCAAGTGTGATTAGGCCTCCCAAATTTTCCTGCCAGTTTCAAATTCAGACATTCTATTCCCTTCTCAGATCCTTTTCATTCATATGTTGCCTGCTGCTCTTGCTTACTTTATATAGTCCTTCCCCAAAATTTTGCTGTAGACTTAAAATTGCTTCTTAGTAAGAAATTATTTACATAATGCTTCATCAAAAATTTTGTTTATACTTCTTTGCCCAATATCAGGGACTAGATATCCACCCTTCCCTCCCCCAACCTTCCAGCCAAATGAAAGTCCCCATAAGCAAATTGATACCCCTCTGTCCTTGCCCTCCCCAACTCCAACCAGCAGATCCTTAATCCACTGCCAGAGAAGACCGGCATCAAGTACCAACCTTTGGCATTCGGAAAAGAGGTACCACACATTCGATCAGAGATTAAGCTCTCCAAGATCCATCAACTGGATCAGAGTGGATTGAATCAAAGCCTGTAGCAGGGAAATATGCCCATCTCCCTACACACTGCAGTTCTTGTATCATTTTCCTGACTAAGAAATATTCAGGAAATTGGCTCCAAGTTACTCAAAGAGCAAGCAGCCAGTGAAGCTGAAAAAGATTGAACTTTAAAAAGGATTTACAAAACTTGGCTTCTTTTTTTCAACCTGGAATATCTTAGTCTTAGCTTAATAAGAAAAGCATAATAATTGATTCCAATAAGAAGTGTGTTATCCATCGAAATAGAATAAAAACAAATATATCCCTCACTATTACCAAGGTTTAACCTAGTTGGCTTATACTTTTTAGAGTTTTTAGTAGTTTGAATGGGGAAACTCTATCAAACCTCTTGAATCAGGCTTAATAAGGCTGATGACCTTGGTGAGAAAAATATGTTCCCCACCAGAATCTCTTCCTAATGATGATCAGCAACAACAGCATGACCATAGCTAGCACCTCACAGAGCTCACTACATGGTTGACAGGGTTCTAAGTCGGTTTCATACTTTAACTCACTAAATACTCACAGAAGTCTTATTATTCTCATTCTGATGAGGAAATGACAAGACAGGGCTACCCAAGGTCACAGAGCTAGGCAGCCATAGAAACAAGCAACAAACCCTCTATCTAAGAACCTGGGCCCCGCAGGTGGTAAGAACCAGCCAACCCAGTTTTCGGATGGAGGAAATGGCGGGATCACAATAGCACATCCCTGTAAGGTATGTTGGTTGATAGGTCTAGATGCCTACTAGTCTAGACCCGAGGGAACCAGACTTAGGAGAATCCCCAACTGCCAGGAGACTGGAATTTCATAGATGGACAATAAGCCATGTAGATAATGCCGGCTGGAGCTGGCATATCACATTTGACAGTGGACACATGGATTTCAGCAAGATAAATTCCCTGGGGTAGGTAAGAAAACCAACCTACATTATTGTAGCTACATCCCTGATTGTGTGTACCACTGTGCCCCTTCGCCGGGCACCCAGGGGAAGCAGTAGGAGCCCATGTGTAGGTAGATTTGTGGCACCCAGACAGGGCTTGTCCGGAATCTTACTTACAGGACTACAGGTCCCAGGTGCTCTCCTGCTCTGTGCAAATGAAGTGCTCATCCCCCCAAAGGAGGGGTGTGGGGCGAGCAGGTAGAGCCACATGGTCCCAATCACTGGATGTCTTCAGCTAGCATTTATTGAGTGCTTACTATATGCCATGTAAGCTCTTTACGTGTCTCCTTTCACCCTCTCCACAACTCTATTGGAGCTATATGCACAACTGCTACTTCCATTTAGCAGGTGAGGCTAAGAGAGGTGAAGTAATAGGCCCACAGTCAAACAGCTAGTAAATGGAGAAAATGAGCGTAACACTGAACCCCTGTGCTGTGTGTCCTTGGTTGCATAAAATGGGTTGTGGAGTGAAGAGAATAATCTGCCTGGAAAATATTAGTGCCATTCTGGGATTAGGTGCCAGGTTTCTCCTAAGCATACTCAGTTTCTTTGGACTCCATGGCATATTTGCTTTGCTCCTTGGGGAGTCTCTCTAAGCCCAATTCTTAGCTCAGCTCATGAGGGTCATGCTGGAAATTCATGGGATTCCTGAGCCCGGGGCCTTGCTGCCACCCAGGGGCTGGACCTCCTTCCCAAGACGCCTCTCTTTTCCGTTCTCTTTCCAGGAAGCTATACAACACAATTCTTTCTTCAAGCCAGAAAGGAAACTGGAATATGGAAATGTCAATGAAGCATTTAAAGTGGTCGATCAAATTCTTGAAGGTAAAAAAATGGTGGGAGGGAAGCAACCCTGGAAGCCTCCTAAGCGTGTCCAGGTTAACATCCTTTTGCCTTCTCAGAAACAGGCACCTCATTCACGAGTGCGTTTCCCTCTCCGTCTGGTGTGGATGAGGAGCCAGGGGGAGGCAGACTGGGCGGCGAGACCTTGCCCTTGGCAGCCCCCGTGCACTGACCACCTGCCCTCGCCAAGGCGCGGGTTGTTAAAAGATGTCGTCTCCTTTCCTGTTCACGACCACCCTGCACGAGGGTGTTATTGTCTCAGTCCTACAGGTCAGGAAGCCAAGACTCAGAGTGATCATGGAATGTGACCAAGGTCACACACCAGCTACTAAGTGACAGAGTTGATCTTTAAATTGATAGCCTTTTTTAGGATTTCCAAACCCCTTGCTGCTTTCCCTGTCATCCTTTCTCTCTCTGGTTCTCCCTCCCTCCCTTCATTCCTTCTCTGCTTTCTCCTTCCCTTCTTCGCTCACCTCCTCCCTTTCTCCTTCCCTCCTCTTCTTCCAGTCTCCTTTCCTTTCTGTATGTATGTAATTAAAATTAAATTTGCCTCTTAGAAATAGTTAATTATAATTCTCCAATAAAATTTCACAACTTTTTACTTTGAAATAATTTTGAACTTACGTAAAATCTGTAGAAACATTAAAGAAACTCCTAATTATCCTTCACCCATATCCCCCAATCTGATGTGGAAAACTGTAACATTTTTCTACCCTTGCTCTGTCATTCTGTGTGTGTGTGTTGGAAGCATTGGGAGAGAGAGAGATATACATATTTTTCCTGAACCATTTGAAAGTTAAGTTGCAAACATAATGTCTCTTTACCCCTAAATAGTCAGTGGTCGTTTCCTGAGAACAAGGACATTATCTTATATAAACACACAGTTATCAAAATCAGAACATTAACATCAACACAATACTATTACTTAATCTGCAGATCTTATTCAAATTTTGTCAGTTGTCTCAATAATGTCCTTTATAGTAAAAAAAAAAAAAAAAAAAAAAGATTTATCACAGGGCTTAAATTACCCATGCTTTGCTTTTCTTCACTGTGCTCTGCAGCTGTCCATGCTGTGAAAGCTGTCCTCAACACCTGCCTCCCAAGATCTCTGATTTCCCCAGGCGTGCTGCTGGGTGGGTGTGGGCAGTCTGTGCCACATCTCAGAACAAAGGAGCAGTCTGTTGGCATCGTCTGTCTTTAAGTGAATTTCCAGGATATTGACCCTTAGAGCGTGTCAGAAACTCCCATCTCCGTAATTTTTCTCTCCAACCCTGACCCCAAGCACAGAAAGAACCTTAAGACACGGCATCCTGGGTACAGAGCCAGAGCTGTGTCATATGTAATCACTCAGCCCAGACACTTGAGTTCGAAGCCCATCACATCTCTTAGCTCGACAGCTGTGTTAAACCTGAAGCTGGTCAGGGGCTGACTGGTAACGTCATCTGGAAGCTGTAGGAAAGACACCCTGTACTGTCACCTGCCAATTTTCTGTGGCGTGCTGTCTTATTAGCTGTGTAACGGTGGCACAGCACTTCTCAGGGCTCAGTTTCCTTGTTTTAAAATTATATAAGTAAAAATAAAAACAATCTTAAAGATGCATTATGAAGATTATAAGAGATAATCATGTGTGCCTGGCACACAGTAAGAAATCAATACCCATTAACAGTAATTATCATTAGATTTTGATGACTTCATTGTTCTCTTGAAAACACTATTAGTGAGTGCTAACACACTGGCAGGTGTTCCTTTATCAAGCCAGTATTTCCAAGATTTACTCATTATAAGAATCACTGAGGATGTTTATGAGACCTGAAGATCCCTGTGTCCATTTTTAGAATTCTGGAAGATCCAAGGCAAGCCAGGAATCTATTTTAACAAACTTTCCAGGTGATTCTTAGGGTTAGTAAAATGTGGCAAGCACTGAAAGGTGAGTTTGATTTATGGAATTGGAGGAGAAAGGGGGCTACACTTCTAGCATAGAGGGTCCATGGCATAAGCATCCTGTAAATAACAATATTTAGGGGATTCTTCCTCATGTTTGGTTCTTGCCACAGTATTAATAAGTTTTTGTGTGAGAATTCAACTATTGTATTTTTCCTTGACATCTTACTTCGTTATTTAATTCAGTTGGGTGATCTGTTCAGTCTGTCTCTTAACTTAAATTTTTACTTGTTGCTACCCCGTGCCCTTTTGATAAGTATAAAAATGATACAGGAATCCTTAAAACTTTTCTGTTTCCATCCTCTTGACTCACTAGTTTGAGTATATTGTTTTCTTTCTCTGCTATTGTCATTTGAGTTAAGAATTTTTGACTACTTATTTCAATGAGAGGTAACAGAAGTAACAATCATAGCATTATCATAACGACAGTTTATCTGTCCCTTGAGAAAATAGGTGTTTCAAGAAAAAATGTTTAAAAGATAAAATACATGGAGATTATATTAAGTCTTAAAATGTGTTCTTGAAGGCAGTGATGTTATTGTTTTGTTTTGTTTTTTTCCCCACTGTGAAGATGTATTGCAGCCCTACCTAATTCTGGTGTCACAGCCCTGCAAGGGTGTTAAGGTCACCACTTACAAAGAGCCAGCTGCGGCCAGAGAGGCCATGTGATTGACCAGAATCAAATCTAAGTTTCCCAATTCCGAAATTGGTGTTCTTTCCTCTACATTATCCTGCTTCTCATTTATCTCTTTAAAATTCTATTAGCCGGGATGGGCTTTACACTGGAGAGCGCAGATGACAATCTCTTTAGCAGGATTTGTAAAAGTCCCCGGGAGCCTCAAAACTGAGATTATTTTTCCCACAACCTGTCCTGTTGGGCATGGTACAGACAGACACTTTCATATCTTAGTAGCTTTTGGGCTTTAAGAGCCTTTTATTAAAATGTAAATATGCCTAGAGGAATCATTCCTAAACCCGTAGTGGCATAACATTTTATCTCAAGGATTAGCTGATCAAATTGGTTTCAAACCAAGAGAGTTGAGAGTAACACCCTAGGGCGAAGAGGGGGCACCACGGTGGGGGCTGTAGGCATGGGCAGTCCAATGGAACAGGGCTCTAAACCGTTGCCTACTTTGCAGGTTTCAATAGGAGCAACTCTATCTGACATTTTTTCAGCTCTGTATATTTTAAATAAAGTGCATACGTAATAAAGTAAATTCTGATTTGACAGAATCAGTAACACTGCAAGCCATGAATTTGAGCCTAGTGACAACGACATGGGTTTTCATACTTTGCTAAAAGCTAAAATTGAAGTTAAGATATGAGCTCTTGAAATTTAATGTTTATATTTAATAAGTGACTATCTGTTCATTTTTCTGTGCTCTTTACTCAGATTTTGGATAAGATACAAAATCCAGACTCCAGTACAAAATATTTCCTGAGGAGTCTCCCTCAAACAATTTGCAAATCGCTATTACTGGGTACATTTTGAAGTTTTGAAAGTTCTGCCTTCCACCTAACATGATGGTTGATCATAATTGTATTGTTTGTTCCTTCCCTTTGTTCCTTCCCCCGCCTCCCTGTGGGTTGCTTGAACATTTTTAGAATTTCATTTTGACTTATCTATAGTGTTTTTGAGTGTATCTCCTTGTATAATTTTTTTTAGTATAATGACATATAATAAAATTTATAGAATTTCATTTTGACTTATCTATAGTGTTTTTGAGTGTATCTCCTTGTATAATTTTTTTTAGTATAAATTCATATAATAAAATTTATATATTTTGAGCATATAGATTGATGACTTTTAACAAAAATATACACGTATATCATTGCCATCAAAATGAAGATATAGAAGACTGCTATCTCTTCAGAATTCACTTGTGCCACTTTGCAATATCTGCCCTCCCCACAAAATAACCCTAATGAAACATTGTTCTGTTTTTTTTTTTAAATCACCACATATGAGTTTAAACTATTCTAAAATTTCGCATAAGTGGTATCATATAGTACGCAC